ATAAATAAGTTATTTTATTATAATATATTATTTTATAATATTTTATTTTTATTATTTTATTATTTTCCTTCTACGTGACTTTACCGAAAGAACCAAGAAGAAGAAAGCTAAGATTAAGCAGCTTTTTGTTAGGCTGCCGGGGGAGGCAAATTAGAAATGCGCAAGATGAACACGAACGTGTGGTAATGGTGATGGTCGTGTGTGAAGCTGAAGTAACAGGCTGGGAATAAGGATATTAATATGAAAATAGATATAAACTGGCTGTCTAGCAGTAAACTGCACGGCAGCTAAAGTTTAACTTGGTTAATTACATCCTTCCAATGATTGCTCAATTTGAATCCCTCATCTCGGTCTTTATTATGTTCCTTTTCCCTGTAATTGATTTACAATGTTTCGATTTAAAGCTTTCGTGACTGCAGGGATTCATCTTCTTGGTTCTTTCGGTAAAGTCACGTAGAAGGGAAATAATCAAATAATAAAAATAAAACATTTTAATATTTCGATTTAAAGCTTTCGTGACTGCAGGGATTCATCTTCTTGGTTCTTTCGGTAAAGTCACGTAGAAGGGAAGTAATAAAATAATAATTATTATGTTTTATTTTTATTATTTTATTACTTCCCTTCTACGTGACTTTACCGAAAGAACCAAGAAGATGATTTACAATGGTTGCCCTACAATGTTATCAGCAGATCGGAGATAGTTAATATTTTCCCATATATGTTTATGACTTTATTTTCCTCCTTTCTCACGTCGAGGGTGAATTATTTTGGTATCTCATTGCCTGGCTCACCTGATTTGTATTCTGCTCCTTTCATTATTCACTCTCTGTGTAGTTATTCCATCCTTGCAAAAGGTTTTCATTTAAAAAAAGTGTTTATTTCGGCCTTGGTTTGTGAGAGATTTGATGACTGCATCATTTTCCAGTGAGTTACATGCATTGTCGTAGTGTACAAAATCGAGGCATTGCACTGTACTTATTAAAGAATCTGGTAGAGAAAACGTTTATAATACCAGCTTTCTTTTGCGGTTCGTTGGCCTCTGAACAGTATGTTTTTTTTCTTTTCCAAATGATCTTTGTGAATAATTTCTGTACGCATGTTGATGCTAAATGTGGAGGGGAAACCCGAAGGACCCGGAGAAAAAGTCCACAGGGACCACAGAGAGAGAGAGAGAGAGAACATGCAAACTCCAGATATACAGTAGTCGGGATTGAACCCAGGACCTCCTGTATATCAGGCGGGGTAGTGAACACTCGCCACCGTGACGCTCAATATCCTAGCAGGAACCTACAATAAGTATAACCAGTAAAAACAAAGTTTTTCACTATAAATCCTTTATATGCTTGGCGGCTCGAGTCCTCTCGTCCTCTGGCTTGAGATGGCTGCCACCTATGGGTCAGATGATTGCATTGCACCAATAAGCAATTGGTTATTAAATATAACATTTTTGTCTTAAAAAGTGTAAAATTTTGGAAAAATGTTTTTCACGAACATTAATTGTCACGCACAACGAGTCTGTGTGGAAAATGTCAGCTCGATTGGATCACGGGAAGTGGGTTAAAAACGACCGAAAGATTTGCACGGTCCTAAGCAAGCAAGCGAACTTAATATAAAGGATTTAAAAAGAGTAATGAGACCCCGCGAGGCTTTCCTGGGGGACACAAACGTAATCATATGATATTCTTTGGTTCTTTCGGTAAAGTCACGTAGATAGAAAATAATAATAAAAAATTAAGTGAATAAAAATAATAAAAATAATCAAAACAAAAAACACTAATGTAGACTGTAGCCTGGTTCTTAATCGGAGTGAGTGTACTGGCAATCTATAATGTGGACTTAAACTTCGGTGAGCGTACTGGCTACATTATAGACTGCCAGTACACTCACCCAGCTTAATAACCATTGCTACAGTCTACATTATAGACTGCCAGTACACTCACCAAACTTAATAACCAGGCTACAGTCCACATTATAAATTGCCAGTACACTCACTCCGATTAAGAACCAGGCTACAGTCTACATTAGTTTTTTTTTATTTTGTATTCACTTTATTTATTATTATTATTTTTCTATCTACGTGACTTTACCGAAAGAACCAAAGAATATGAATTCCTGTAGTCACGAAAGTTTTAAGTCAAAACGTAATAATATTATCTCTCATGTTAATCCACTGCTGGATGAAGGCCTCCCCAAGCAGTGCCGGTGATGGGGGTTGTTTCACATCTTTGTTCAGTGCTGGCTGGTAAAGGGGGCGAGGGGGAAGGTTAGGTGGGGGGGGGGGCAGGAATGATTGAGGTGTAAATCGCCACTGATGTTAGCCGTTGTGGGGAATTAATGTCTCATTTGGCTTCAGAGCGCAGTGCGCTATCCACCGCGACTGGATGTTGTGTGCCGGGTGTGGAACTATTTTCCAGATCGCTGACCCGGCCGACATTAAACCCGGAGCACACCCATTGCATTATGCATATACTTTCACAAATAACAACCCTCCTTAGCCTATATTCTATATGTTATGTGCAAATACACCTACACGCACACATACATATTTATCATCAAGGTCTAATTTCTCATGGAATATTTTTCGGAGGCATACCCCCAACCTCCCCCAGGCCCCGCCCAGTGGAAACATTTTCCGGAGCTCAGCCCCAGGCAGCTCCGGTTTCAATGAAACCCTGTATACATTATGAGACGCACAATGCATTGTGTACTTTAGAACACACATATTCCACGCCCAATACCCCCGATCTCGTATTTTGTAAGCTAAGCAGGGTTTTATCCTGGTTAAATTTTGGATGGTACCTGGACCTGCGTGGTTGCCAGGAAATGGCAGTGCCAACAATGGATCTTTGCGTCCATCTGTGCGGTCCTTTTTCAGTGTTTCGCGGGTTCCCTCCCAAAACACTCGTTCGTGGAGTTGGTCATACACATCCCAATGCGGGACAGGCGCCTCTTGGAAGAGTGTCAGAGACTCCGTGAGGGTTTTCCCGGATACATAATGAGCACGACTGAGCACTGTGCCGTACGCATTGTGTGCCTGGCGTAATGCAGCTTACAAAGACAAATATTCCGCCGGCTTCGAAGCGCAGTGCGCTAACCACTACCCTCACCGCTCACACGCACATTGACAGCCCACGTGTATGTGTATGAATACACCCCTGTCCACGTGTGTAACACTACACGTGTGTGTGGGGGGGGGGGGGTGACAACGGTTAGCGCACTGCGCTACGAAGCCGGCTGACCCCCAGTTCGATCCCGTCCACGGCAGACAGCAGTGACGATTATCTGAACCGGTCCTGGGTCTCTCACCTAGGTCGACTCAGCCAACGAGTAACTTGTGCGATGCGTAAATATCGCCGCTGGGGAGACAAAGGCGGCCGGGCGTGGTGCTGGCCACCCACACCCCCTCGTGTGCTGTGCCGGCCTTCATAGGTGCTCGCTAACAGCACTTGCCCCTACAGGCTGTGAAGGCTACACGGGTGACCGTTGTCTTTGTATTGTGACAATGGACATGCGCTAATTAACACACACACCTTGTATATACACCACATTATACACGCACATATAGGGTACATTAAGACAATGCTCCCCCGTGTAGCCTTTAACAGGCTATTGGGGCAAGTGCTGTTAGCGAGGACCTATGTGAAGGCCGGCACGGTGGCACACGAGAGGGGGGGGGGGTGGCCAGCACCATGCCCGGCCGCCTTTGTCTTCTCCCCCAGTGCTGATGTTTACACACCGCACCAGGTGCTCGTTTAAAGGCGACGAGACGCAGCACCGGTTCAGATATTCGCTCCTAGCGTGGGAACGATGTGCAGCACAAACGCGTTGTTCCACTGCGGTGTACATTGACAAGGCACCCTCTGGCACGTACATGATGACACATTCGCGATAACACGTGCACATGTAAATATGGTGTACATTAAGACGCGCGTATTAGCGGAATATGTGGAATAGTCCTAAAAAAAAATCAAAAGGCTGTATGGGAGGATGCACTGTATATGTAAATCACACGGAACACACGAAGGCACCATTGATGCTGTTGGTGACGAGTCACAAAACATCTGAGCCATCCCACAGGGCCTCTCCAACGCACTGACCAGCGTGGTGAAGTATGGTTACGACAAAACATCCACCCCCCCCCCCCTAAGTGACAGACAACAGAGCGTGGAGAGAGGCTGGGGGAGGGGATTCGTTGATCCAGCAGTGGAATGGTAAATGGCGTTATATCTGTGTATATATAGACACAGTCTCGTGGTGCGTATCCTGTTACAAGAGGACTGTGCACATACATTGTATTGTACACACACACACGCGGTCGCATGCTCAATAAACGTTGGGTGAAATATGAAGGCATTGGCAAAAATCATCGTCACCATCAGCCATGGTCAGTCCACTGCTGGAAGAGGGCCTCCAAAACAAGACGCAGACGCCACCGATTTGCAAGGCTTGGCACATCGGCACATTATACAAAGACAAAGATCCCCCCCCCCCGTATAGGCTTTTCTGGCTGTCGGGGCAAGTGCTGTTAGCGTCGGTGCGGTCATAACCACGCCCGGCCGCCTTTGTCTCCCCAGTGCTGATTGTTGACGCACCAGCAATACCCATTTGAGGCTGAGTCAATCTACGGGAGGCCCAGTTTGCCGGCTTCGAATATCCGCCAGTGATGCACACATACACACGCTCATTGCGAAACGCGCGCAATTACGTCGCAAAGAATAACAATACAGCATCGGAAGTCTGGGCACATGTACCCTATACGGCGTATTTACAAATATAAAAAAAATACATCCATGATATAGTGTACGTGTGTATATATATAAGAATACGGCGTGTGTGTGTGTGTGTGTGTAAGGGGTAGTATGACAGCTACCGCATAGCAGCATCCCTGCTGTAAAAATGCGCACGAGAGGAGCTGCGCTTTTCCACCTCCAACGCCACCGCCACCCACCCGACCCACCCACCCACCCCACCCCCCCCGGCTCCACGATCAGGAATCTCACCTCTCCGCGTCTTCTCCACGGCGAGCCTCTCGTCGCCTCGTCTTCACGGACGGCGAACGAATCTCCGTCTTGCATTCATTCATTCAGGAACGCGCGCGCGTGATGGAAACACGCGCGTGTGGTGTGGGAGGGAGGGAGGGAGGCAGATGGAGGGGTAACAGCAGCGGCGGCGGCGGTGGTGGCGGCATCAGCTGCCTCCGCCTTCCTCATCCCTGATGAGCGAGGATGCGAGGATGCTCGCTCGCTCGCTCCCGCTATTGGCGCATGCGTGTCCGTGCGTGAGTGCGTGGCCAAGTGCGCGCGCGCGTGTGTGTGTGTGGGGGGAGCGGTGGTGTAGCGGGTTACTGTGTGTGTGTGTCACGGTGCGTGTGTGTGTCACAGTACGTGTGTGTGGGGAGCGGTGGTGTAGCGGGTCACTGTGTGCGTGTGTGCCACAGTGTGTGTGTGTCACAGTGTGTGTGTCACAGTGTGTGTCACAGTGTATGTGTGTGTGTGGGGAGCGGTGGTGTAGCGGGTCACTGTGTGCGTGTCACAGTGTGTGTGTCACAGTCCGGCAAAAACAACCCCCTACCTCCTCGCGGTGCCGGACGGGCAACACTGTCGTGGACAGTGCTCTGGGGGGAGGGCCAATGCCCATTGGCCTCTCCCCTCATGGCGTCTGTGACCACCACAGTGGCTAAACGGGGGCTCTAGTCGGGTGCGAGGGGCTGGTAACCCCTCCACCTTCAATTTATTACCACGAAACTACGAATTAAACATAAATATGTAACAAATAAGCTTGTGCCGGAGGCCCCGGGGGGACAGGCGTCTATGACGTCTCCTGGCCAAACCCCAATTGGCAGAGCCAGGAGATTGAATCTTCACCCTCGGGGCTCCTCCAGAAACAACGAAAAGCCACTACGGATGGCCACGTGGAATGTTCGAACGCTCACTGCGGAGGAGAGGCTGCCACTCCTCTGTCGGGAGCTGGACCGGTACCGCCTGGATCTCTGTGGCATTCAGGAGATCCGGTGGACCGGTTCTGGCTCCTGCCACTATGAGGGGTGGACAGTCCTCTACTCGGGCCAGGAGACTGCCAAACAACAGGGTTTGGCTCTTATTCTGAACAAAAGAATGAAGGGGGCGTGGGAACGTGGCAGTGAGGTGTGGGAAGCTGTAAGCCCCAGGATACTTTGGGCTCGCCTTCCCATCAACCGGAGGCAAAGAGTGGTGGTCGTGGTTACTTATGCCCCCACCGAAGACGAACATCCGTGGAGGGATGCAGGCAAAGCCGATAAGTCAGATGCCTTCTATGACCTCCTGTCACAGGTGCTGGCTAAAGTGGCCCCTCGGGACAGAGTCATCTTGTTGGGTGACTTCAATGCCCGAGTTGGTCATGATGCTGGCACCTGGTCTGGAGTGACTGGAAGGCATGGGCCAGATCAGCTCAATAACAACGTTAGGAGGCTGCTAGATTTTTTTGTGCAGCTCATGGGCTTGTAATTACCAACACGCTCTTCCGGCATCGGCGCATCCACACAACATCATGGATGCATGCCGGGTCCAAGCAAGAACATCTGCTGGACTACATAGTGACGGACCAGCGGATGCGAGCCCATGTCCTTGACACCAGGACCTACCAAGGAGCTGATCTGCCCTCTGACCATCGACTAGTCATCTGTAAGATGCGCCTGCCATTCTTCCACTCCGGCGATGGGTGTACACCCAGGACCCCATTCCGACCTAAAGTGGCCTGGTCTCAGTTAGCTGATGAAAGTTGCAAGCGAGAATTTCATCATCGCTTGCAGCTGGGGTTGGCATCGTCCCCCACTCCTCCTGATGTCGAGAGTAAATGGGCCAGGTTTAGGACTGTGACTCATGCAGCTGCAATGGCTGCTTTGAGTACGCGGTCCAGACCTCCCTAGAAACCCTGGCTGACAGAGGAGGTGTTCAGGTTAGTTGAGAAAAAGCGGCAGGCCCACTCTCATCGGCTACAGCATCCCACGTCAGAGAATGAGGAGGTTTACCGCAGACTTCGCTCGGAGGTTCGGAGAACCGTAAGGCGCTGCAAGGATGGGTGGTGGTCGCGGTTTGCTGAGGAGATGGAGTCTGCCTCAGTGGCCCACGATCACAAATCACTATTTGACTCCATCAAAAAAGTAACCTGCAGCGCCACACCGGTGATCCAATCTCCGACCCCCAGGAACAGGCTTGCAGATTTGCTGAGCATTTCTGTGAGGTCCTGGGGGAGGGGAAATCCCTCAGCCAGGAAAACACCCTGGCACAAAGTGGGGATAACCCTGCTGAGGCTGCGGTGCCTCAAATATTGGAAGAGGTCACCCCCTGTGAGTGGCTGGCTGAGGTGCCATCTGTTGAGGAAGTACTGAAGGCGATCCGGAGTCTGAGACCAGGAAAGGCACCGGGCAGAGATGATCTCCCAAACGAAATGCTCAGGGAGGGTGGCGTTTGTGCACAGACTGCCCTATATGACATCATAACAACAGTCTGGACCACTGGACGGGTTCCGCAGGATTGTAAGGATGCCCTGGTGGCCCCCCTCTTTAAGAAGGGGGACCACACAGACTGTAACAACTACAGGGGCATCTCACTCCTCAGTGTGCCGGGAAAGGTCCTGGCAAGGATTATTCAACATCACCTTGCTAGGCACGCTGAGGAGAGGCTTGCGGAGCCCCAATGCGGTTTCAGGAAAGGGCGGTCCTGCACAGATGCCATATTTTCTGTCCGTCTGCTACAGCAGATGTGTAGGGAATTCCAACAAGACCTACATCTCTGCTTTATTGACCTGGTCAAGGCCTATGATACCATCAGTAGGCCTGGGCTCTGGGTTGTTCTTCGTGCTTTCGGAGTCCCTGACCCTCTGCGCACGATCATTAAGGAACTTCATGATGATGAGCGGGCCCAGGTAAAACTACGTGGCTGGGAGTCAGAGCCTTTCCCTGTACACCTTGGGGTGCGACAGGGATGCCCTCTGGCTCCCACATTATTTAACATCTATTTTGACCACGTAGTTCGTGAAGCCTTCAATAGCTGTACCGGGGGAATTTCCATTTGGTACAGATATAATGGGAGGCTGATCGATGCCCGGGTGCGATCAAGGGATGGCTCCCTATTGGTCAACCACGTTATGTATGCCGATGATTTGGTAATAGCTGCTCATTCAGAGGAGGAGTTGGAGACGCTGCTGCTGAGACTGGAGCGTGCGACTAAGAGGTGGGGCCCTACCATCAGCCCTACCAAAACTAAGCACCTGCCTGGGTATTTTGTACCAGCGGACACTCCACCCCCACAACTCCCAATCGGTGATGGGGCAGTAGTGGAGAGAGTTTCCCATACCTGGGCAGTGTGCTTATGACCGGCTCCAGTTTAACAGCAGAGGTCTCACTCCGAATCAGTCGAGCAGCAATATATTTTCATCAGTTGCGTAACGCTGTGTGGATGCTACCTGGTCTGTCGCTCCGCATGAAGCTTCAGGTCTTCCGGCCACAGTCATTCCCTCCCTTCTCTACGCTTGCGAAACGTGGACCCCCCTAATGGAGCATCTTCGCTGGTTGGGAACATTTAGGCTGGCCTGCCTACGATCCATCCTGGGTTTAACCAGGCTGGATTGTGTGAGGAGCTCACAAATCCTTGAAAGATCTGGGCAAAGTCCCATCGGTGAGCTCCTCCGGCAGGCAAGGCTGCGTTGGCTGGGTCATGTAGCCCGCATGCCCAGCCACCGCATGCCTAAACAGCTTTTGTTCGGCCGGATCGAGGGGGATAAACGGGCGCGGCACGGGCTAGAGAAGAGATGTAGTGATGTGGTACAGGAGGACGTGGAGCTGAGTGGACTTGCCGATGACTGGTACCAGCGGTGTCAAGATCGGCCTCTGTGGAGAAGGCTCGTGAAGGACGCTACTGGGCAGTTGGAGGCAGTCGCCCTCCAACAACAACGGAGGGCGGAGGAGCGACGCTCACAACAACGAGCGGAGCGCCGGGTGGCTAAAGCACAGCAAGTTGGCACAGTAGGGGGCACAGGTGGTGCATCAGCCAGTCATCTCGGTCATCTCAGTCAGTCGACCCGTGGCACCTGGGTCTGCCCCGTGACCTCCTGCCAGCGGGTGTTCGACACTTCACGTGGCCTCAAGGTGCACATGGCCTGGCACAAGCGTCGTGGTGACGTCACCGCCACTTAGTGGCGAATGGCGGTTGTTGTTGTGTCTGTGTGGGGAGCGGTGGTGTAGCGGTTAGCGCTACGCTGCACGAGAAACCCGGCTACACGGGTTCGGTTCCCGCATAACGATCAACACCCAGTGTGACGATTATCTTAACCGGTCCTGGGCCTCCCCTAGGTCGACTCAGCCTCAAATTAGTTCCCGGTGCGATGTGTAAACATCGCCACTAGGGAGACAAAGGCGGCTGGGCGTGGTGTTGGCCTTTATAGGTGTTCGTTAACAGCACTTGCCCCTACAGTCTGTTAAGGCTACACGGGGGATCTTTGTCTTTGTGCTTGCGCGTGTCACCTGTCTGGGTAGCAGCGGTCGTGGAGCGGTGAGCACGACGCGCTGCGAAGCCGCCCACCCGAGTTCGATATCCGTGTCACGGTCGACATGGGTGACGATTATATGAACCGGCCCTGGGCCTCCCCTAGGTCGACTCAGCCTCAAATGAGTTCCCGGTGCCGTGCGTAAAAAAAAACCCCATCACCAATGGGGAGACAAAATCGGCCGGGCGTGGCGCTGGCCACTCAACGCCCTCGAGTGCCATTACGGCCTTCATAGCTGCTCGCGAACAGCACCTGTGTGTGTGTCGATCCATGCGCTGTGTATCTGCGCGTGTAATGGTTTAAGCGGTGTCCCTGTGTTTTGCGGGTCCGTACGTGATTGTGTGTGCGCGTGCGTCTGCGCGTGCACGCGTTGAGTGTTCGTAGTTGTGGGTGCGCGTACTGTGTCGGCGTGTTTGTGATTCTACGTCTGGCTCGCGTGGGAGAGTTTGTTGTCCTTCCCCGGGGGCAATTCCGATCACCACGGTTGGCTGGGTACGGTGCGAAAGAGCAATTTATCTTTCACTATCTTTATTTAACCAGGTAAGGCCCACTGAGTCAGACAGTTCTTTTTTTTCAGAAGCGACCTGGCCACAAATGAGAGCTCAACCAAGTGGCTTATCGTGTGCCAATGTCCAGCAGCCATATGCTCCAAACGCATGTTGATTGTAAATGTGGAAAGGAAAACCCGGAGAAACATCTACGCGACCATGGGGATAACACGCAAACTC